TTTTATGACTTTCTATTCCCTTTTTAGCTTCTGAGTTGCAGTCCTAGTCACCCAAATGCAAATCTCAGTTCCCATTTTTCCCTTCAAGCCCCTCTGAGACCATTTAATTGTTTAAAGATGACTTCGAAGACGAATCCAATTTTCAAGTGCAGTCCGAGTGTTTCTTTTGCTCAATTAAAAACAGAAGCTGGCTTATTGACGAGAACTCAAACTGTTGCCGTTCTTTCCTCCACTATTTTTTGAAGATGGTCAGAATAATAAAAATCATCATGAGCATTTTTATGCTATTATCGACGGCGACTCCTGATTAATTTTATGTTTCCTTTATCTTTAGCATACCTTGGCAACTGTGATAACCCGTAGAGAACAAGCAAGACAGCCTTGTATTTACATTCTGATTTCATAGCTGCTTCAAATCATCCCAAACTGTCCTTCACAAGTGTTTTTATGATTTATTTTATGAACTAAGCGCTTTTCTTTCTTCTATTGGTCTCGGTAAATACCTTTCCACAAAAGATAACAGAACATTGCGTGTGTCACAGCATTGAGGATTAATTTGCATATTCTTGTTATAGCTCTAATCACGTGCTCGTTGTTGATACCCCAGTCCCTCTCGTTCAACCGTGTGTGGATGTACTTTGGACTGGGCGGTGGATTTCTATTTATTCTCATTCAGCTTGTTCTACTGGTTGACATGTCTCACTCCTGGAGCGAGAACTGGGTCGAGAAGATGGAGAAAGCCTCGAACTCATGCCGCTCTAGATGCTGGTGGGTAACAATAGGTCACTTTCGTTATGTTAAAATTCAGCTTGATAGCGAGGCCTCGAGGACACAAACAAAAGAAATGAATAAACCTGTCATTCAATTTCCTTGTTTGTGTCCTCTAGGCCTCGCTGCCAAGCTAAATTTTACTATATGGAAAACAGCTATTAACAATGGTATAAACAGTTTACAATTGAACATTATATTTCCCAGTAATAAATCATCCAGATGTTTAACGAACCATGGCGAATAGTACTTTAAACTTAAATCTGTAGTGATATGGAATGGTTGGACGTTACCCAATGTTAACCATTCTCGTTTTTCCTTTGTAACATGCATACCCCAGTTTGTTTAACTCCGACTTCGACTCCGACGTCGTTGCCAGGGTCTCTCCTCCAACCTCTTTCCCAGCGAGACCGAGTGACCTCGTTCCCAGGGAGACCATGTGACCTCGTCCCGTCTTTTCCAATGGAGACCATGGGAACGAGGTTCAAAGTGATAATCTGCTCTTTTATCTTCAGGTACTTAACTTTCGTGTCGTCTACCGGCCTGTTGTTCATATTCTCCATGGTGGCTATGATATTCTTCTTCAAGTATTTCACCCACGACGCCCAATGCCGGACAAACTTATATTTCGTCTTATTCAGCTTGTGCCAGTGCGTTGCAGCCACTGTGATCAGCGTACTTCCCAAAGTTCAAGAGGCGCAGTCAGGCACGGGTAAGTGACGTCATAAAATAAAAACAACATATTCTCACATTTGTTCCCAGTCTTCGTGCCCCTTGACGAGCGGCCCGGCCATGAAAGTTCTGATTCGAAGTCCCAAAATATCGACCTGCCAATCAAACATCGCCAGCTTATAGCGAGCGTTGTTGTTGCTGCTTTTTTTGTGCGGTTATCTCTATTGTTTTTAAAACCAGTGAAAATCGATCTTGGAACAGAACTCTCTCGAGTCGCTCGTTTCGTCAAACTGTGCACTAAGGAGCATTTTGCTGGGAAACCTGGCATGATAAAATAAGGTTGTGGGATAAAGGAAGGGAACGGAATAATCGAGACTGTAGGGAGTTTAAGCAAATCACTACGGCTGGTGCTACTACGGCTGCCGTGACTGCTTAAACTCCCTTGTGATATATTACTACGCCTGGTACAAGAACAAAGGCAAATGGGCTTCAACTCGTTATTGCTGTCTTTCCTTCAATTTTTCTACTTGATCTCCATCACTTAATGGCTGAAGACCATTGTTCATTTCTTCTCAGGTTTGTTTCAAGCCGCTGTGGTGATAGCTTACACAACGTATCTCACATGGTCTGCTCTCTCTCACGAGCCGGATGACTTCTGTAATCCACCGGGCTACGTCATATCCGGCTACGATCAAACTACAGGCTTGAGTATGCAGGGGATTGTCAGCGGTGTATTCGTATTCGTCATGCTCATTTATGCCAGTTTCAGTACAGCTATGAGTGCTTCAAAGCTAAGTAAGTTTACACGACACCGTATTTCGTTTTGGAAAGTGCAATAGTGCAAAGAACTCAGTCTTGGGAGGCGTGGTGGCCTAATTGTTAGTGCGCTGGACTCCGGATCAAGCGGTCCAGGTTCGAGTCCTGGCGGGGGACATTGTGTTGTATTCTTTGACAAAACACAGTGCCACTCTCCTGTCAGGTGTATGAATGGGTACTGGCGAATTTAATGCTGGGGCATAGTTACTAACTATGGCTTGGGGTAGCCCAAGAGCAACCACGCACCGGCAACACCATCACTGTCATGGACTAGCATTCCATCCATTGGGAAGTGGATTACTAGTCGCTTGATGCTACAGAATCAAGAGAGCACCGGTCTTATGGGCCACTGCCCTAGAACGAAGACTTTCCTTGTTACCTTACAAAGAACTCAGAGTACAGCAGTCTCAGAGTTCTTGAAAAACAAAACGGAATTGCCTATTTAAGCTAGTTTACTGTTAATAAAACCTGTTAAGTTTTAGTTGAAAATTTTTACGATTTAGCGAGAAAAGGCACCAGGCTTTTAATCTTTGCACTGTTATGTATCATCTAAATTAAATGACGTTTAATTTTGCGTTCGTTCGTTCACTCGTAATTTTATTATTCTGGATTAGTCGTAATTTTTCGTTAATTTGTGGTGGTCATTCTTTACTAATTTATTTAGTTATTATTTGCAATGTTCTTAATTAGCCGTCATTTTCTCACTTATTCAGGCAGATGGCGCATTCGCATAAATGAAGATGAATTCAAAACTATGGCCAAGAACTCGCCTACAAAACGCAGCGATGATGTTGAATCTGTCGATAAACACGACGAGCATATGGCTTATAACTACTCCTTGTTCCATTTTATCATGTTTCTTGCTTCTTTACACATTATGATGACACTAACAAACTGGTACAGCCCGTCACATGCCACAAACCTTAGGGGGCTCGAACGCTCATGGCCAGCGGTTTGGATCAAAATGGGTTCGAGTAGCGCATGCTTGTGCCTCTATATATGGGGATTACTCGCCCCAGTGCTTCGCCCAATGTTTCAGAATTACGTCGCTGGCGAGGAAAAGGGTAACAAACTTCAATCTGATGCGGTCAGCGTGCATTCCCACGTAGAACGTGCTACGAAAGAGTCTCAAAAGTCAGTAAATAGCGAAACAAAACCGGAAGAGCCTGTTAAGCGTGTTAGGGACCATTTGCAGACAGAGTCTAGATTAAGCAATAGCGAAGACAATAAGGTCAAGAACAATGTTAACAACGAAAAAGGACATAAAGAAACTACAGATACTACAAAGACGCCCCTGTCGGAGGCAGACAAAGAAGTTTTGAGACTTCAGGGCAAGGTTATAAGATTGCAAGAGAAAATAGCCAAGTTACAACACAAAGTAGCCGAGCTTCAAGGTCTCAATGTATAGCAAATTCGGTGTTTGCAGTGAAGGTGATAGTACATCCATGTGGCCTGTTAAGGTCACCTCTAAACCCTGTATAGTGGTTAGAATTGATAAGGAATAGATGATAAACTTAAAATAAAGCACTATTTTGTACCCATTTTGATAGACATGCCGGTTCCTAATTGTTTCCATACCATCAAGTCATGAAAGCTCAAGACAAGAGAAATCTCATATGCGGCAAACGTCCCCTCCCCTCCTAAGGGTATCCGCTCACGGCACCCTAGGAACGTACA